TTGAGTAATTAACTTTTATTATTAATATATTCTGTATTAATTTGTTCTGATATTGAAAGTCAGATACTTTACGAATAAAAAATATATTCGGTTTGTAATATATTATTCGCGACGTACAGTATTTAAGACTAAATAAATATGTTGCAATTTGTTTCTATTTTGTATTTTATTTTACATATATATATTTTTATTTTTTTTTTATTTTTAATTTTAATTTTATTTGCTTTCCACCATTGGTTACACGGAATTTTCTATTTTTAGTATTTATATAGTGAATTGATATAAAACTAGCAAATACACTACCATCGTTAAGCACAAGGCAGGCCTCTCTTGAACTACTCCAAACAGTAAATTTGATTTTTATAAAAATTACTTTATCAGTATGTCTAAAAATCAAATTTGATTGGCTAAAAGGCGTTAGATTATCAGTTAACAAATGTTTAAATGACCTTCTATGGTCATTTGGTCACTAGTCATTTGGATCATTTGGGTCATTTCAAGTCATTTACCATTTCTGCTTCTAAGTATGAAACTATCCTTTTCATTCAAAAAAAAATACGAAATTTTGGTTCAAATAGTCTTTTAACTATTGCCTTACTTAAATCTTACCTAACTAACTCTGTGGTTTGATTTAATTAGAGCATTGCAATGCATTGCGCTAGCAATAAATAATAATTTTCAATTTATAAAATTATTATAATTTAAAATTATTCCTCTAGACTGCATGTTCAGCAGTCACTTTACAAAAAACGATAATGTCACCTTGTCTTCTTGAATCATCATTAAAATGAGAGTTAAAAAATCTTGCACACTTTTAAGCACCAAATTTAAATGAGTCCCAAAATATATAAAGATAATATAAAGAAATAAGATACACTAAAATAAAAATATCTTTTTTTTTAAAGCTCACCTGATTGTATTCTAATTGCTTCAAGATAGGCTCAACATCTTTCAACAAAACTTCAAAAATTATTAAATAACTTGGCCATTTTCGTAATGAATTATTTGAAGATAAATTAAAA